TGCATTTCATATTATTTATATAAAAAATATCAAGAATACGATTTTTGCAATAAGTAGATCATATATTGAATTAACTCCGCAGCAAATTTGTTTATCCAAATACAGAACAGAAATATCGATAGTGGCAAAGAGCATCGTTTTATGATGCATAATAAATGTAATATAATGCATGAATGTTATGTAAAGTCATGAGATCACATCAAATCGATTTCTAAAAACTATATAATTGTCACTATAACAGCCCGTGATAAAATCCAAAAAAAAAAAAAAAAATGAAAAGCAAAATTACTTTGATTTTTTATTTGGCAATAGCAACAACGGTATAGTATGTGTATCATGTTAAATTTCGTCATCAGGTTCTTTATTTGATTTATAAGCCAAAACTTATTAAATTTATTAGATTGGCTTGTACCTTTTCTCATCTCACATTTACGATATAATAATGAGTGATGAACTTAATTCCAAAGTTGATGTAGGTTATAATAATTACAAAAAAATTTATTAATTATTAATTTAAACTAAATAATGTCTCGTATAATAAAACTTCTTCAGAAAACTATTGCTGAAAACTTCGTAGTGGTTTTTAGTAAAAGTTATTGTCCTTATTGTAGCAGTACTAAAAAAATCCTTGAGGATAAGAATGTTAAATATGTAGCTTGGGAACTAGATCAAATGGGAGGTTGGTTGTTTGTTCGTTTTTGGTAAAAATAAATGTTTATATATTTACTGCTTTGTTTTAAACATTTTATTTTTTTAGAAGACGGGCCGGCAGTTCAAAATTACCTTGTTGAAAAGACTAATCAAAGAACCGTTCCAAATATCTTTATTAAGCAACAACATATTGGTGGTGAGGATAATTTATTCACAATTTCTTAGTAAAATTCTTTGATTTAATAATTAATTTTCTTTTAATATAAGGAAACGACAAACTTAGAGAACTTAAAGATAGTGGTGAACTAGATAAATTATTGACTTCCTAAATTTTTTTTGACAATTTTTCGATGGTGCAATACTTGTGTAATGATTATTCATAATAGGTAATAGATTTTAGCCACTGAAAAAAAAAAAAAAATTATATTTATTTTATCGTTATTGTATTTTTTTACATATCGATATGTAATGAAATGTAGGGCTCTTTTAGTATACGTATAATAACTACGTATAAATTAAATAAAGAGGTTTCACAATTATCTAAATTTTGAGTTACGTACATAGATGCACACGCGCATCATTATATTCGTGTAATTTTGTTTTTATAATTCATGCACAATAAAACACCGAATACTGTGCGATCGAGTAGTAGCTAAGCCACCAAAACTCATACAATCGAATGCCCCTGTGAATTCTTGATCTATTTCTTTTACTCTTAATACTGTCGTTCGTTCCAAACGTTATTTCTCTTTTCTATTCACCAAATTCATTTCAAAGTTAATGGCCACCTCAAAAACTAAAGGCTCAAATTCAAGTACACCAACTGCTTCTACAAATACAACAGTAGCTGTCGGCAACTCAACTTCAACAAAACATAACGGAATAAATTCTGTTGCTGGTGAACTTGGAGCAAAACGTGTTTCAAAAGGAAAAGAGGTTGTAGGAAAAGAAATTGCTGCTGTATGTAATCTTTGGATCTTTATTACTTGTTTCAATTTTTTTTTTTTATACTAACTCGTTCATTTAATTCTTTGCAGCTTGATTTTAATACTTTCGATATTTCAGTATTGCGTAGATATAAACGGATTCATAAACTGAAGGTTAAGGATTACGCTACTAAAGAAGAATTAGTTAGTGCTGTTTCCCGCCATTATGCATCCCAAGCTCCTAAAGAAGTTGAAGCCATTTCTGCTTTTATATATTCCGTTCATCATAAAGGTTTCTTTTATTTATAATTTGATTTATATTTAAATTTTTACTTTATTATTAAATGTGATGTTTTTTTTTTAAATAGACACACTGTTAAAGCTTCCAATTCCATGACAAAATTTCAATCCGGGTGCAAATTTGCAACCCGGTTACTTGCATGATTTTGAGATCGTATATCCAGGTGAAAATGGGTTGTATATACTATATAAACCCTTAATATAAGCCTTAGGGTCATAGATGATGTTACTTTGCAATTATAATTATATAAATTACATCGTTTACATATTATATATAATAACAAATGTAAAATAATTATTATAAGGAATTTTTCAAAAGTAATCTGTGGATATATCATACCCTTTTGTAAGAAAACAATTATCATAAATTTAGAGTTAAATTAGTGTTAAAAATTACAGAATTAGGGGGTTAGAGAAAATGTATATATATACGAAAATTAGGTGTTGAAAAGTTTTATTTAGAAATTTTAATATCGTTTTTAAAAAAATAAAACTTTTAAAAATATTTAAATTATTATTTTTGTTACGCAAGGTTGGTTAATTATATAAATAAAATATATTATTTTTTATTATATAATTAATAATAATATCTTACTATAATATATACTGTATATAAAAATTACGTATAAATTTTTTTTAAATTAAAAAAAAGTATATAGTACGTACCGTATGAATATATTTTATGTTATACTGTATATTATGTTAACGTTAATAGGTATCTGTTAGCTATACTCCCTAAGTGCAACTCTCGTTAAGTGCAGGTAGACTTTTGTTCCTAGCTAAATAGAAACATAGGGATTTTGCTCTCTCTAAATGCAGATTTTTGTGATTTTTTTCCTATGTCCCCCGAGCATTTGCACTTAAACTACTTAATATAGTAAAAAATTTAAAAGTTTAAAAAAGTTTTATTATTAATTCTTTCTTTGACTATCTTGTTAAATTTTATTAAATTTTTATCATATATATATAACAATGCAAATTTAAATGCTGTTTTAACATTACCTAGTTACCTCTAAAATGCCTAGTTGTACTAGTTATAATAAATATGAAAAAAATGATATAATGGTTAGCGCTGATTGGTTGGACGTTGCATATTGTCTTGAGTTTTTTTTAACACAGTTTCGGTAATTCATCTTATTTCTCTTGATTTATATCGATAATCACGATGGGTACGAAAAACAATATTAATAAACCACCACCACGTAATTTACAAAAGGAGGGAAGAATTAGAAAACGGAATATATCATCGATATTACGTAAAAATGGAATTATAAAGCCCAATCAATTGGTAATACATGGTAGAGATTTATCAAAAAAGAAAC